GTTCAAAATGCAAAAAATCACCACAAAAGCGGAATTTCTTATAGGCGCGATCGTCACTAAGCGGGCAGCTGTAGTAAACTGAGGCAGGTCGGCTGCGTGACCGGGAACCACGCGCTCGGTCGACCCGAACGTGTACCAACAAATATCGGAAGTCGACGACACCATCGGATGTTGAGTCACATTTTTCGATGAAATTTACATCGTAACTCGAAATTATTGTAAGTAGGGGCAATCGTATGTCGAGGTGCCACTGTATATATGATTTCTGCCATTTTGTGACAGTTACTCAAATCATATATGTATGATTTGCGCTGTTTAAGGGTTAAGAAGCACATCAACAAACTGGAAAAGGTGCAAAGACATGCTACTAAGTGGCTTTCAGAACTGAAGGGCAAGAGCTACGAGGAGAGGTTAGAGGCATTAAATATGCCAAAACTAGAAGAGAGAAGAAAAAGGGGTGATATGATCACTACGTACAAAATAGTAGCGGAAATTGATAAAATTTATAGGGAAGATTTCCTGAGACCTGGAACTTCAAGAACAAGAGGTCATAGATTTAAACTAACTAAACAAAGATGCCAAAGAAATAAAAGAAAATTCACTTTTGCAAACAGAGTAGTAGACGGTTGGAGCTAGTTAGGTAAGGTGGTGGTAGAGGCCAAAACTGTCAGTAGTTTCAAAGCGTTATATGACAAAGAGGGCTGGGAAGACAGGACACCATGAGCGTAGCTCTCATCCTAGAAACTTAGGTAATTACCTACACTTAGGTAATTACACACACGAGCATGAAAATGGTGTGAGGAGGGTCAAGCCCTTAACCTGGGAAGAAAACCTCCCCCAAGGCGTGGAAAAACAGAACCACGCACCGCAGGGAAACAGATGCAACAGGGGAGGATAAACACCAGGTCAACCCACCCCGGCCAAGAACACAAAATGTAAGACAAAACAGACAAGCAGCAACCCTAGCCTCTCACCAAGGGGACACAGAAACACAACATATGGCAAGGGTGGTGGCCAAAAGAAAAAAAAGATAGAAACAAATAATGTGCACCCTCAGGAGCCCCAGAGACATGGAGAAACACATGTCCAGTGGCAGAGAAGGAAGACAAGAATGCAAGAGGCAGGGAAGAGGCAAGGGCAACACCAGAACAGCAGAAAGCCATAACACACATGGAGCACCCATCCACCCCCAAGAAAAAGAGAGAGAGAGGGGGGGGGGGGGAACGGCTTGAAAAGCCGATGCAGGCAGCAGCCAAAAATGGGAAAACCCCAGAAAGCCACATACCTCCGTATTCCAGGCCGTGTAGACAAAATTCAACAGAGAAAGGCAGACAAGAGGGAGTGACAGAGACATCTGGGAGGCCCAGAGTGTGAAAACACATTAAAAACATGCACCAACAGACCCCCACACCTAGTCCCGAAAAGTAAACACAACACTGAGCAATGCCCTGAGTGCCAGGCAAGCAAACAGGAAAGCAATAATGGCCTCCAAAGTAAACAACGCCACTGCAGACCGGGAAGCTACCAAAAACGCAGAACACGACGGCAAATACTGTATGGCAAAACCAAAGCCGAAGGAAAAGAGGGAATGAAAACCCCCTCCCATGCACCAATACCCCTGCTCAAAAGCACAAAGGCCCAAGCAGGAGCGAAGTGGAGCCCAAGCACACCAAATGGGCTCCACCCCAAGCCCTGAAACCACAAGAGAGGCTCATTGGCAGAACCTACCTCCACGCTCTACACCCTTGAAGAAAAGGCAGAGTCCAAGAGAAAAAAAAAGCCTCAAAGAAAGGGGGCCCGCTGGGTAGACCCAGAAGCCTCGGTGGGAGGAAGACTCAAAGACTTCCGTCTCCACATCGAACGGGGCAGTCCCCCAGGGCCGCCCAAGTCTCATCCCAACTAAACCCAGCCCTGACCCCGAAACCCTCAGACATTTGGGAGCCGGGAGCAGGGGGAAAAAGCAGCAGGGCGAACTACGCCAACAAGAGGACTCGAGGGCGCGGACAGAACTAAGGCCATAGCGATCAATACCCCTAAGGCCAGATCCTAACCAAAATGGGGCAGCCCTGGGGCATTCGAGCGGGCAACCAACCCAGCACGTTGCAACCACCTAAACCTACAATGCAACGCGATAGCAGCTTGACCCCTAAGATATCACGATGAAGAATGGGTAACGGGAGAGCAAGCAGGGAACAAGACCCCGCATGACTCTGGGTTAAATGGTGTCTGCGACTCAACAAGCAGCCTGACGAAGGCAAAACAGGTGATTGTCACCCTGAGACAGGGGGCAATGAACAACCTGCAAACTTGCACGAGGTGAGATGGAACTTGGAGGACACATCCAACAGTCAACCAAGCCTCGATGGGGTTTTCCAGGGCTTGCAAGGGGATGTAACCCTACCGGAAGCCCAGGCACTAGTGCCGCCAAAGACGGTTGTAACCCCTGGTATGTATCCGGGCAAACTGGCCCGTGAGGCGGGCAAACTGGCCCGTGAGGCGAGCAACCTCGGAGGTCCAGAGGAGGACTACCCTACTGAACCTAGGAATCTCATAATAGGAATCTTGGCAGCCTCCCAACAGGCAAAAAGAAAAGTAAAAGTATGAAAGAGAACCCCGAGGAAGCACCACAACCCAGGGGACCAGAAAGTGGTACGGCTGCTGCAATTATGCAAACAGGGCAGCACAGTGCGCCCCAACCAGCAACAAGCCACTCTCTACCCAGGGCCAAACGAAAGTACCGAGACCTAAGCTGACCCCAAAGGCGAGGCAGAAAGTCAGGTAGCCTCTACCTCTATGGGAATGGGGACCCGAAGGACCCAGAGAAGATAACTCTGAACCCCAAGGGATGTACTCACAGGGAACTTCGGGAAGGAACCTCGAAGTGCATGCAGCCCTTGGTACAAACTCTTGGCCACCTCCAATGCACAGCAGGAACACCAGCAGGGCAAAGTCAATCAGGCAACCAAGACCAGAGCAGACTTACACCCCGTTTAGCCGCAGCCGACAATCTGACGGTTCGGCTGCAGGCTCAGTGGGCTGGGATCCCCCTCTCCCCCTCTCCCGGGGGAAAGGGAAGGGGGGGTCCGAAATGAGCGGTGGAATGCGTTGCTTGTTAACTTGTTTTTCTTTGGGAAGGGGGGGGGGGGGAGGGGAGGGCTTTCTAGTGTCTGTTCTTTCTCGGGTTGCAATTTTTCTACCAGGAGGGGTCTGTTTTAAAGGACCTACCTTTGTGGGTACTCAATCCCAATTGATGGCATACATGAACACTTTCATACATGAGTTTCATAGGCCATTCCTCCCTGTGCCTCTCTGAGGGGACTATGTTCTGGCTAGTGGTCCCTGGTAGGCATGACAACTCCATATGATTGAAGCCCCATACTAATATTAGGCAATATCAGTCCAATAGTTCCAAGGAACCGACAGGGCTTCCCCACAGTAAAGAAAGCAATCTAAATACATTGACAAAATGAACAGAAATACATTTGTGTCATGTCATGAATGATGAATCGCCCGCACAACCAGCTCTGAGAGTCGTTGTCACAGGTGACCACCAATCTGTGATGTCACAGCTCATCTTCTCCACATCACTACACCCAAAGTAAGTCATTTTTATTATTTTTTTATGCTTGTGTTCAGGGAAGGGAATTTAACAATATATATACAAAAAAAGTTATGAATAATTTTTCTGTGCACCGGGGTGCTGTCATATATAACATGATAAAGCAGGTCCTATAAAAAACAAAGGACTCCAAGGTTACATTAGTTACAAGTATACAAGTTAGGATCTATTCATGGAGCCCAGTCTCTCTAGGTTTCATTCTTTGTGTTTGTGGGGCTATACAAAATTTACTCTTCATTGGTTAGGAGGTTTCAATATACAACTCGACTACTCTCCACCTCTCTCCTCCTCCTCGAGTACTAGTATAGACTTGTGTTCTAGGGGTTTGGGGGTTGCAGGAAGTTGTGTAACAAGTACCATTTGACTCAGATTGGGTGTTAGAGCCAAAACCTGGGGGGCTGCTCCTTCCAAATTTTACCCCTTATTCGTCATCACAATTTCAGCAGGATGCTGCCTCCACTACCGCTAAGGTGCAGTCCCAGATCTGTCTGTGATCTGGATTTGTCTCCACTCTGTAAGTTTCATCAGTCCCACCTTTTGGCCTACATGGTACAGCATGATATGCTTGAGTTTTTACTCAGGAACTAAGACATTACTTCAGAAATGAATTCTGAATACACTTTACGGCTGTTTTCTGGTTTATGTTATGAGGTCCTGGATTCTCCTGGTTGGCAAACAGGCTATCATAAACTTTAATAGTAATGGTCTTATTTCTCTTGTTTGAGAGTTCTGGATTGGAAAAAGATGCCCTAATCTTATGTGTATTTTAATGGGGGTTTGTTGCCATTTTGATGTGCTTACTTATGCTATGGGATTTCCCTTGCCTGTTTCCTCCAACCCAGCTCCTGTGTTGGAAAAATTGAAGACTATTGCAAGATGCATCATTCTGCTGGCCCCTAGATGGCTGGTTTAGCTCTGGTTCCCAGACCTTCTCACTGGTTGTCCTCGTCCATTTTCATTCCTGTAACTCTCTCTCATCTTGTCCTCCAAGGATGGTTCAAGTCTTTCTACCAATAACAGAGATATGTAGATTGGTTTGCTTTGCCTGTACTTTCTGGGGAGTCTTACTTGGGTTTGGGTTGGTCTCAGATCCCCATGCTCCTCTAGCCCCAATGAGCACACCAGACATTTGGTAGGCTTGTCTCAGTCCATAGGCCTAGTAGTTTTGTACTCATCTTCGTGGTATCAAAGTCAATGCACCAGAGAAGGGCCTAATGTGGCCTTCCAGGAAAAGGGTATTTTTTTACATTCAATGCTTAATTTCTACATATTTCTAAGTGACAGGCCAAATAGAGTGGCCTAAGTGAAAAAAAAAATCACAAATTTTACAAATGTTGCTTCAGAGTACATGTTCTGGAGGTACGTGCAGTCTTAGTCTTACCTTCTTGTATTTGTGAGGGAACGTGTTGCGTTCTATTGTGTTCTGTGTTGCTCCACGGGTAACTACAGGAAGGCGCCGATGGTCAACTACACGCATGTAATCTTCCAACCGAGGAAATGCAGAACCTCGTTGGAATAATGGAAGCTAAAAGAAATAAAATATAAAATAATGCTTTAAATATGTAGCAGTAAACAAATTATTGAAAGAATACAGTACACACTAAGTTTTATTAAGTTATGCCATAATCCCATAAAATATTATAGATGTATATACAATAATTATTTTTCATGTGGTTAAAGCCAAAGCAACAGCTACTACATGACAAAACTATTACAGTATTATGTACAGTTATTACATAAAACTATTATAGCAATACATAACAAACCTGTTAAAGCATTACAGAGTTGCTACACGATAAAACTTTTACTATATGACATACCTGAGGTATGTAGGTGAGTCTAGGTGGAGGAGGCAGTTCAGGCGTGAGAGTGGGGGGTAAGGAGAGGTCTAATGGTAACTGGGAACCCCCTCCAATGTTTATATGCAAGCCAGGACCTGGCATTGGTAAGTGTCTTGGGTCTCCTGCTGCGGCTGCTGCTGCAGCTGCTGCCGCTGCTGCAGCTGCAGCAGCAGCGGCAGCTGCAGGCATGGACATGTGGGCAGGCGGTACAGCACCATACATGTGCCCATACAGGCCACCGCCCTCGCTGTCAAAAGTTAAACAGAAATTAGAATTGTAAAATTATCCTTTATTTAATCTTTCTTGAAACAAAACTACAGTAACCTGATATTTATTAGATATAGATAACTATTTACTAAAACACTTTTGGGTTCATCCATGATCACCAAACAGCAGCCACAAATCATGACAAAATGCATCATGTGCAAATATTTAACATACTCCAATAACTACGTCTTGAATTCAGCCTCCCTTACATTTAGTTCAACATCTCTAACCTACATATACTGTATGTAAGTGTAGTATCTTTGAATCTTTCTATCAGCACTCTTCTTTAATATTGAAAAACATCACACAGAGAGTAGATTTTATTTACATTTCAAACTTACAAAATATCATGAAAACGTTCAACTCTCTAACCGGTGTTTCTCTACATTATTGGTACCCCTTTGTCCCCCTATTCATCATCCTCTATTTTAACATTATCTTGCTTAAGCCTCATTATTCTTTAATTTTGCTCTTCCACAATGTAGCATCCTCATGAAAAAATCTCCCTAGTACATACAGTATTATGAAAGTAAACAGAAATCACTATTGAATCATGTCACGGACAGGAGCAAGAAGGAGACAGTGAATGCACAGTACAATGTAGTAGGGAAGAGCTACTAAATTCACATGATTATGTTCATTCTGATCACACTAAAGATTAAAGCACAGATTGGAGGCAGCTGCCACATTACTAGTGACAGTGTAGAGGATGGAGGCAGCTGCCACATTACTAGTGACAGTGTAGAGGATGGAGGCAGCTGCCACATTACTAGTGACAGTGTAGAGGATGGAGGCAGCTGCCACATTACTAGTGACAGTGTAGAGAATGGAGGCAGCTGCCACATTATTAGTGACAGTGTAGAGGTTGGAGGCAGCTGCCGCATTACTAGTGACAGTGTAGAGGATGGAGGCAGCTGCCACATTACTAGTGACAGTGTAGAGGTTGGAGGCAGCTGCCGCATTACTAGTGACAGTGTAGAGGTTGGAGGCAGCTGCCACATTACTAGTGACAGTGTAGAGGTTAGGGGCAGCTGCCACATTACTAGTGACAGTGTAGAGGTTGGAGGCAGCTGCCACATTACTAGTGACAGTGTAGAGGTTGGAGGCAGCTGCCACATTACTAGTGACAGTGTAGAGGTTGGAGGCAGCTGCCGCATTACTAGTGACAGTGTAGAGGTTGGAGGCAGCTGCCGCATTACTAGTGACAGTGTAGAGGTTGGAGGCAGCTGCCACATTACTAGTGACAGTGTAGAGGTTGGAGGCAGCTGCCGCATTACTAGTGACAGTGTAGAGGTTGGAGGCAGCTGCCACATTACTAGTGACAGTGTAGAGGTTGGAGGCAGCTGCCACATTACTAGTGACAGTGTAGAGGTTGGAGGCAGCTGCCGCATTACTAGTGACAGTGTAGAGGTTGGAGGCAGCTGCCACATTACTAGTGACAGTGTAGGGGTTGGAGGCAGCTGCCACATTACTAGTGACAGTGTAGAAGACCAAGTGGAGTAATAAACCATGGAAATTGGAGAGAGATGAGGGTAGCAAGACACCCAACCTACAAACTTGAAAATAATAAAATTGATGACATTTCAGTCCATCCTGGATCGTTACCATGTAATGGAACTTAATAAGGTCCAGGATGGACCAAAACATCTCAAATTTGTTTGAGATTTGTGGATTAGGTGTCTAATTTTCAGTCATGCAATTGTGACATCAACTGCATGAGGTAGCAAAAAGAGGAGTTAAGAGAACAGGCAAGGGAAGCATCAAGATATTTTTAAAACAGCATTACTGACTAGAGTGATATATAAAACCTTCAGTCATTGACCAAAGGAGGCGCAACGAGAACAGTAAAGGCTCTATACGACAAGTAAATAAAGATGGTATCAGCAAGTAAGGAATAACTACAGAGGGTGCAGTAAAGATACACAAGAAGCATATAGGATCTACAAAGAAATAATTCAAAAGGGAGAGATATAAAGGAGCATATGAAGGTTGTAACATAAGACTAGAAAGATTTGTTAAATATAAAACACCAAAGACAATTTAGGAAAATTACTGATAAGGACGACCATGGAAAATACAGTTGTACAGTATACGAAGAATGTAATTAATGGGAAGTGACAAAATAAGTCACAATAAGTCTTATCTATAAGAAATGAGGAACTTCAGGAGGAAGGAAAGAATATTTTAGAGTGTACCATCAGATGATAAAAAGTTGGCACTTTAGATACAGTAATATTACGCATGGAAATATAATGTATCAGTAAGAAAGTGTCAATCTAGACTTATCAAAAGTGGAGGTAATAGACATCAGGTTAAAGTCAGGAAAGCACAGGAGTAATGGAATAAAGGCAGAGATCATAACAGGGGACAGTAAAGATTACCAGATGACTGGATTGAAGTGAAAATAGATCCTTGCTCAACTATAATGTTAGCAAGAGCAGAAAACACAGAATTACTTTCCTGAGCATACAAGAAAGGTGTATGACAGAGTCAAAACAATTGAGGATAAGAAAAGTAACAACATAAACAAGGAAGGTGACCACAGAAAAGTAAACAAAGAGAATATTGGAAAATAAAGCAAAGAAGTTGTACAGTATTCATGGACCAGAAAATGCCTATGATAAAGAAAATATTCAAATGACCTAAGGAAGGCATAGGAAATCTATGGGTTAGAAATGGAGTTACAGTATTATTCACAAAGACATTATGTTTATAAGAGAACAACATGTTAAAATTGAAGGGGAGACATGTGAAGATTGGTGTTAAGAGAATTAGGTATACAATGTTCCTATGGTTTTTTCCACATATACTGTACAGTATACATAAGGAACTTTCAGAGACAAAAAGTGATTAAGTATACAAGAGCCAAGCTGAAGCTGGACATAAGGATGCAGTCCCCTCCATACAAGAGCCAAGCTGAAGCTGGATAGAAGGATGCAGTCCCTGCTTTGACAGATGGCCGCGGTCATCTGTGCTTTGATGGATGGATGCATCCCCCTGCTTTGACGGAAGGACGCAGCTCCCCCTCTAACTCATACTTTTATGGATGACTCGGTATTGATGGCAGAGATGAACAAAAAGCTCTCGACAGTGATCAAGTTTTATCCGTGAAGCAATAGAAGTTAAAATGCAAATACAAGTACAAGACAACTAATGGATTTTGAAAGATAAGTGAGAAAAGTGGTGAATGCTGTTTACTTAAAACAGCATGAACAGACAAAATGAAAGGCAATATGAAATAATGGAAGAGGTTCAAGTGAAAGACCTATGATCAGCATCACTCAAACATGAAACTCTGGAGATACGCAGAAAAACAGTGTTGAATGTAATGAAACGCCATTTTCTGGGTTGAGCCCCCAAAGGCTTCCTGAAGCTAATGGACTGATATCCACTATATTAGTCTAGAGCATCAGTTAATTGGAGTTTTGTGCCTACCACGAACTACGAGCCAGGACCTGGTTCCCTCAGAGGTGAAAGGAGCAATGGCTTATGAAACACTCCACTTTGTGAGTCTAGTCATGTCTACCATTGACCGGGGGTATCACCCAGAATGGTAGGAGGACTACTGTATCACAATCCCCAACTGGTAGAACATTGCAACCCCAAGAATGAATAGAGCCCAAAAACTCCCCCCCCCCAAAAAAAAGCAACAAACAAGCAAACAACCACTCAACCAGCGCACCTACTCATTAGCGACCCCCCCCCCTTCCCGGGCGACCAAGCGCTGACTGGCAGTTTGGAGACTGACAACAAAAGCACCGACCAGAGGGAGGGAGGGTATCGAGGAACCTCCAGGGCTCAGCCCAGAAAATGGATGTTTCATTACATTCAACGCTGTTTTTTTGGGGGAGGAGCCCCTACAGCTCCAAGCAGCCACAGTATATGTATACCCACACAGAAGGAAAAAGGGGGATTTACCCATAATGGGGCAGCACAGCGTGCCTCATGACGAAGACAGGACAACTACTTGCACCCGACGGCCAAGGACCCAGGACCCTGTTCGACCTCCAAAACCTCCGCGCCCAAATGTCAGCCTAGGACACATTACTAAAACCCACAGCAAGAGCTGCAAACTTGCGCACATCATGAGCCCGAGGGTAGACTTCAGGCTGGCTAGACTTGATAACCCTGCAGACAACCTGAAAGGCCCCGAGCCCTGGAACAGGGAATGTGGGACACAAGATCTACCCAAAACGCGTCCCCGGACAGAGAACCTGAGGTCCGCAGATAACGGCAGAGAGCTGTAACCGGACACAAAACGATGTACCCCTGGCCTGACCTAGCATCAATACCCTACAGACCACTACGGAAACCCGCTGTCTCATTCTTCGCCAGAAAAGAAGGAGATGGCTGCAAACGAACAAAACGACCACCAGGACCAAAGGAGCAGATTCAGCCCGAATGGAAGGCAACGAAAGCGGTAAGCCTGATGCCCCAACACGAAACTTGACCAATCCCTGGACTCCAGGTGAATACGGACCCCGAAAGTAGGGGCAAGGAATCCAACAGTTTAGATGGGACAAGTCCAGAATGAACCAAAGATCCGCATAGTCCCTTTTCGGAACTGGGAACAAGCGAGAAACCCACTCGAGGGATGAGGATGTTTCGACCACGCCCAAGCGTACCCACTCCAAGATGACCCAACACAACCATTCGGAGAAAGCCTGCCTCACCAGTCCCGAACACCCCGGAGGATGAAAAGGAGCCGCCCAACACTACCAAAGGCTGGGCGAGACCACCTGAAATGCCCACAAATCGTGGGACCAAGCATGGGCAAACAGAGCCAGCCTCCCCCTTCCCATTGCCCCGCAATGGGGCGATCCGTAAAAGGGCCGAAGCGTCCCCGGCCAGACGAAGAAGGCCCCAGAGGAAACACCAGCACAGAATCTGGCACCATGGGCCCACCTTGAACTAGACACCTAAACCCTGGCCCGACCCCTCCGGGAATACAGTACTGAGAAAATCCCCCCCCCCTCCCCGGACCACCAACAAATCAGAAATAGGACGACAACTGGAAGACGCCGCCGTCAAACACCGAGTCACAATGGCATCCGAAAAAACAACGGACAAAATGGAGTCAAAGACTGAAAAGCTTGGGCCAAAGGGGAGTCAAGAGAAAGAGCAAGGACGGCCTGTAGACACACAAGCCATGAGGCATAAAAACACAGAAACTGCCTCCTGGAGAATAGGCGCAAAAAGTTGGGGATGGCAGAGAATGCCAAAGATGTGTTGGGGATGGCAGAGAATGCCAAAGATGTGTTGGGGATGGCAGAGAATGCCAAAGATGTGTTGGGGATGGCAGAGAATGCCAAAGATGTGTTGGGGATGGCAGAGAATGTCAAAGATGTGTTGGGGATGGCAGAGAATGCCAAAGATGTGTTGGGGATGGCAGAGAATGCCAAAGATGTGTTGGGGATGGCAGAGAATGCCAAAGATGTGTTGGGGATGGCAGAGAATGCCAAAGATGTGTTGGGGATGGCAGAGAATGTCAAAGATGTGTTGGGATGGCAGAGAATGCCAAAGATGTGTTGGGGATGGCAGAGAATGCCAAAGATGTGTTGGGGATGGCAGAGTGTGCCAAAGATGTGTTGGGGATGGCAGAGTGTGCCAAGTGGCTCAAGAGATAAACTAATGGTTTAGACAATGAAGACAATTACCAACGGTAGCCTGTATAAAAGGTTACACACGAGTGTATATGATGAATAACCAGCCTACTTCATGGGAAAGGAAAACAGAGGATTACATAAGGGATAGGTATCACGATGGCATAAGGGGCATAGAACAGACCAGATCATGTTTGGACAGGGCTGCCTGGAGGCGTCTCTGTCGTGGCCACCCCCTTGGAGGGGAGTTCCCAGGGCAAACAAGGTTCTTAAAAAAGAAAAGAAAAAACAAAGATATTATAAAACAGCTTTCAGAAAATATGAATGTGGAGGTTGTTTACAGAGAATGCAAGGGATAATTTTTTTCCACCTGATATGAATGTGTAATTTTGTAATTAAAGAGAAAAACTGCAAATGATATATAAATGATGTGTAGTCTTGAGTTTAATAGAAGTCATGATGGGGTGGAATATAGAAATTGAGAATGGAGTATTTCATGAAATTAAGAGATGGGGTGGGGGGGGGGGGGGGGGGTTGCTTCCCCCCTTTAAAATTGGTCAATGGGAGGGTGCCTACAACACTTGGTATTATTCAAAATATTTCAACTTGTCAAATCAAAAAGAATAGTACTAACAGCAACTCCTGATCAACCTAAAAAGAAAAAAAAATTAATTGCTGCACCCTAAAAGACATTCCTGATTTGTACTACTGTATTAATTTTATAGAGGGCACAAGAAAGAAGGCAACGACTAAATAAAATCTTTCCTATACCTAGAATAGTGCACACATGTAATAAATTAGACCTAAGATGGCCTATTTTAGGCCTAGGATTGCTTATTTAAGCCAATGAGATTAGATTAGGTTGTACAGTTACTGTTACACTTTTTGGAATGCCATTTGCACTATTACAATAACAAAATGTAAACTCTTTTTGGGGGGTGAAACAGTCCATTTTTTACACTTGATCAATAGTTGCTATAAGCATTATAATTTTTGGAGGATATGTTGAATATTCTATAAGAGGAGTGATCATTAAGTTCTAGCACAAGTTTTAATGCATGGATACTAAAAGGTTGTAAATATAAAATGAATTGATTTAGCTCCTTGGTGTTTTGGAACTCAGCCCTTCAAAAAGTGTTGTTTCTTAATTTTCTAGTGGCGTGCAATAGACAGAAGAGTGCAGTGTTTCCTGAGGGAACACAACAGATTTAATGATGAAGGGACATGCACCAAATATTTTAGTATTAGAAGATAAAACAATTAACCTGGCTTTCTGATACAGCTTCTGCAATGCTTCAGCGGCAATGAGAAAATCCCTAAAATTTGTCAAAAAGACTAATTCCACATTGACCATTTTCTCTCTGAACCACAAATCACAGGAATGGCTGAACTCTCTACCTGGTATAACCCACAGAAAAGAGATGCAATACTCTAGGATGGGCCCAAATTGTAACTCTTTAACTGCTAAACATTTTAAAATTTCTACATCATGGTGAACACACAGGAAAAAAAAAAAGGATTGAAACCCCATCAGGTTCAACTGCCTCATTTGATTTGGTGGAAATTTATTCCACTAGCAAAAATATTTTCATAAAATGGAGGGTGCAATGTACAGTATTTTACTTTTCTAAACTTTAATGTTAATGGTAGGGTGATATTTCAACACACATCAATTTTAGAGAAGATATTTTATTGAATTACCTTGCACTTGGGGGGGTCACATGAGTAACACAACTGCAAAAATGCTTGAATGGTCACCAAGCCAATATGCAACTGAAAACTCCCAACCCCTGAAGGATTCAAACCCAGACAGCTAGGGCTCCATGCACCTTAGCTTATCAGTAGGTATCCAGTTCAAATCCTTCAGGGGTGAGAAGTTTTCGGTTGCAAATTGGCTTGGGGATCATTCAAGCATCTTCGCACAAATGTTACACATGTAGCCCCTGCATGAGAGGTGATTTGAAGAAATATCTGTGCCCAAAAAGGTCACCAAGTGCTGATGGGAATTGGGTTAAGGGTCTTACGACTTCCAATTCTTTTAACAGTCGTTGTGGCCTAGTGGTGAAAGTACTGGACATGCTAAGGTGCATGGAGCCCCTGCCTGTCTTGCGTTGGTTCAAATTCTTATGGGGGTGATATTATATATATATATATATATATATATATATATATATATATATATATATATATATATATATATATATATATATATATATATATATATATATATATATATATATATATATATATATATATATATATATATATATATATATATATATATATATATATATATATATATATATATATATGTATGTATATTTTGGTAGCAGTCTTTCCTGTAGACATATTTTATTAAATATGACCGAAAAAGTAAGATTAATAATTCTAACACGAATTTTCTCAATCTTTCGTACATTATGCTTCACTGTTGGAGGTAAATCAAAAATCACTTCTCCAAAATTCATTTTTATTTCTAGTCTGACGCGACACGGGCGCGTTTCGTAAAACTTATTACATTTTCAAAGACTTCACAAATACACAACTGATTAGAACTTGCATTTCCCTGATTTTATATCTACATTTGAGTGAGGTGGGAAGGGTGATGTGGCATTACATTTGAGTGAGGTGGGAAGGATGATGTGGCATTAGAGGATATTAATAGGGTATTAAAAGTATCAACACAAGACAGAACACGAAACAATGGATATTGAATAGAAGTGTTTGTAGAAAGCCTATTGGTCCATATTTCTTGATGCTTCTATATTGGAGCGGAGTCTTGAGGTGGGTAGAATATAGTTGTGCAATAATTGGCTGTTGATTGCTGGTGTTGACTTCTTGATGTGTAGTGCCTCGCAAACGTCAAGCCGCCTGCTATCGCTGTATCTATCGATGATTTCTGTGTTGTTTACTAGGATTTCTCTGGCGATGGTTTGGTTATGGGAAGAGATTATATGTTCCTTAATGGAGCCCTGTTGTTTATGCATCGTTAAACGCCTAGAAAGAGATGTTGTTGTCTTGCCTATATACTGGGTTTTTTGGAGCTTACAGTCCCCAAGTGGGCATTTGAAGGCATAGACGACGTTAGTCTCTTTTAAAGCGTTCTGTTTCGTGTCTGGAGAGTTTCTCATGAGTAGGCTGGCCGTTTTTCTGGTTTTATAGTAAATCGTCAGTTGTATCCTCTGATTTTTGTCTGTAGGGATAACGTTTCTATTAACAATATCTTTCAGGACCCTTTCCTCTGTTTTATGAGCTGTGGAAAAGAAGTTCCTGTAAAATAGTCTAATAGGGGGTATAGGTGTTGTGTTAGTTGTCTCTTCGGAGGTTGCATGGCTTTTCACTTTCCTTCTTATGATGTCTTCGATGAAACCATTGGAGAAGCCGTTATTGACTAGAACCTGCCTTACCCTACAGAGTTCTTCGTCGACTTGCTTCCATTCTGAGCTGTGGCTGAGAGCACGGTCGACGTATGCGTTAACAACACTCCTCTTGTACCTGTCAGGGCAGTCGCTGTTGGCATTTAGGCACATTCCTATGTTTGTTTCCTTTGTGTAGACTGCAGTGTGGAAACCTCCGCCCTTTTCCATGACTGTTACATCTAGAAAAGGCAGCTTCCCATCCTTTTCCGTCTCGTAAGTGAAACGCAGCACGGAACTCTGCTCAAATGCCTCCTTCAGCTCCTGCAGATGTCTGACATCAGGTACCTGTGTAAAAATGTCGTCAACATACCTGCAGTATATGGCCGGTTTCAAGTTCATGTCGACTAAGACTTTTTGCTCGATGGTACCCATGTAGAAGTTTGCAAACAGGACACCTAGGGGAGAACCCATAGCGACCCCATCTACTTGCTTATACATATGCCCATCCGGGCTCAAGAAGGGTGCCTCTTTAGTACAAGCTTGGAGTAGTTTCCTCAGAATACTTTCTGGCATGTCAAGAGGAGTACAGGCTGGATCACGATACACTCTGTCGGCTATCATTCCGATTGTCTCGTCCACAGGTACGTTGGTAAACAGCGATTCTACGTCCAACGAGGCTCTTATCCCTGTGGCCCGTGCGCCCCGCAGTAAGTCCACAAATTCCTTTGGAGACTTCAGGCTGAAGGCGCAAGGAACATAAGGAGTCAGCAGGCCGTTGAGTCGCTTTGCCAATCTGTACGTGGGTGTGGGTATCTGGCTAATGATTGGTCGAAGTGGGTTTCCAGGCTTGTGCGTCTTGACATTTCCATACGCATATCCAGGTTTATATTCCCCAATGATCTTTGGCAGGTGGAGTCCGGATTTCTTGGCGTTCACAGTTTCGATCAGTTTGTTGACCTTTGCTTTTAATTCGGCTGTAGTGTCCTTCGTTACCCTTTGGAACTTAGTTTGGTCAGAGAGTATGATGTTCATTTTCGCCAGATATTCGTCTTTTTTAAGAATGACATATATTGGCGACTTGTCACCTCTCCTGACAACTATCTCCTTGTTCTCACGAAGGCTTTTAGCTGCCGCTCTAAGCTCGGGGGACAGTATGGTGCTTCTGTAGTTGCCTCGATTCTTTCCTCCTTCTGCAATAAGTTCTGCTTGTAAGGTATCTTTGGTAGTGACCTTCTTTTGTGTCTCGAGGTCGAATATGTCGTCCAACAGAATTTCCAACTCCACTTTCCGGGCCATTTCACTCGGTCTGGACATAACATGACAGTTTATGCCCAGATTTAGGAGAGTGACTTGGTCCTCAGTGAGGTTAATTCCTGCAAGGTTCAGGAAGCCATCTCTTGGTCGTGGAATTGCCATAGGTCCTCCATATAATGTTGTTAGTTTCTTGATAATCCTTGTTTCAGTGCTGAGGTGATGTTGGTCTGTGAGGATGTCGAGGTGTTGTTCAATGCGGGTACGGATACTATGGTCGATGTTGCTATTTCTCCACTCGTTTGTAGCATGAAGTAGTTGCGTTTTTTTGTCTTTGATTTCATTCTCTGCCTTGTATATCTGATCACGAATCAGATCCTGGCGATATTTTATCGTGAAGGCTTGATTCCTTGCTGCTGGGTCGTGCACTTTAACATTAGTATATTTTGGTAGCAGTCTTTCCTGTAGACATATTTTATTAAATATGACCGAAAAAGTAAGATTAATAATTCTAACACGAATTTTCTCAATCTTTCGTACATTATGCTTCACTGTTGGAGGTAAATCAAAAATCACTTCTCCAAAATTCATTTTTATTTCTAGTCTGACGCGACACGGGCGCGTTTCGTAAAACTTATTACATTTTCAAAGACTTCAC